ACAGAATTTAGTTTTGCCAACAATCGAAAGCTCTATCATTGATATAATATCTAATAAACTTAGCAGCTAACTGCATTAGAGGAAGAAAAAGTGAGAGATAAATTTGCGTTGCAACAGACTTAATAAAAACCCTTTCTGATCAAGCTAATTGAGAGTATATCACAATAAAAATACTAATATAATACCTATATGAATCTTTATTGACAGAATCAGTAAATATAAGTAACCTATTCGCATAATCGAAAACCAAGCAAGCCAAGTATTCGGAATCACTTGGGGTATACTATAATATTTTACTAATTTTCAATAGTTGTTAGAAAACGTATTCAAACGTTTCACAAAATACTATATTCTGTAGATTTATTTATATAGTCAGTGGAAAAAATGCCCAACTTTAATGGGGCCATTATTATGCATACGTTGCAGTTGATCAAAACTCCGGCAACGCTTCGTGAAATTGTGGTGACAATTTCTAAGAATATCGACTTGTCGCAGGACGACCTCATGAAGCCGGTAAAGCAGACCCTAGACATGGGCTATCGTATGGGTTTCTTGCAGAAACTAAATGGTAATATGAAAATAAATACGAAATGGAAAAACTCTATCCGAATAATAATCGTATCACAGGCAGGTACTTTCTGGTGCCAATGTCCTTTGAGACGCTCAGAACTGAAATGAAGTCGGCGGGCAATCAGGGGTCCAGGGGCAAGCCCGATCCTGTCGAAAAGGCCGACTTAAAGCCCAAAATCGAAAAGCGAGCAACTGGCAAACAGCATCCACAGGCGGTGAAGGCAATCGAGATATTCAATAAGAATCAGACACCCAACAATCAGTTTGCGTCGGGAATGCTGGGTCAGGAGTCAACGACCACATTGATACCAGCATCATCGATGCAGGTGAAACCAGGTGGATTGGTGCAACGTAACAAGCCGAAGCGCACACAGCAAAGCATTAAATAGATGCAGTTGCATCTACCAATCTGCCTTCTCCCAAAAGCAGTGAAAATTTACCGTTAGCCTGTTGTAATTCCTGTGTTGAGCAATTAAAATTAAAGCGATATGTCTATTCCAATTTCCCACTGTCAACTATTCTATCGTTGACAAACTGGAAGAATGTTTGCCCACTTGACAAATGTCTCAATTAGCGGCGCAAGGATGCTGTAGTCAGTGGGCGTGTGGAATGACATCGTCACGTCGCGTCAAGTCGCATCGTGTTGCGTCGCGCTTGCCTCCCTTTCAATTTGAAAGCCAAATGAAGCGTTGTCCCTGCCAAGTTCCATTTCGCTGTATGCATTGACCATATGGTCGCTCTGTCGGTCCAACTCGGTCGCCCACGTTCCGTTATCTGTCCCACGACCTGTGTCCTTTGCGATGACGTCGACAGTGAGCGGCTGCTATGCCGGCACAGCATACCAAGCACAACGGACAGCTTAACAAAGGTCTAACGGCATTTAAAGCCCACGCCGCAGCCAAATGCTTTGAAGAGAGCCGGCCGTGAGCGCACGAATGGTGAATGGTGGTGAGTAACGAGCGCGTGTTGAATTGCGAGACGAGAGTGCAACAAATGTTTGTCTCACTCAACTAGTAGGTAATATACATAGTAAGGACGCCAACTGAGGTGACTTTGCTTAACTTTGCTGCGTGGGCGCTATTCACTCTAAGCACTGCAAAAAGCGAAAAGTGAGATTATCCCTCGACATCGTTTCGGCACACTGGCACACATACTCATACATATACATACATATATGTATGTATGTACTATAAACGTAAAAACGAATGCTGCTGCTCCATACGCGTCCCAGTGGGAGGACGCGTGTCTGTGTGTGTGTCTGTGTACGTGTGTGTGTATGTGTGTATGAAATATTAAAAGCACGAACTTGATTGTCAGATATACTGGGTGCGCGGTACTTTTTAAAAAGGGTAACAAAACTTTTAAATTGGAGAATATTGCGGGTGTTGATAATGTGGGAGTTTAATGAGTTTTCTAAATTTTTAATGATTTAGCATCTTAGAAAAAAGTAAGAATTATAAAAACAAAAATTGATGTATCCAAGCATCTAGTAAAAAGTTCTAAAAATACAAATTTTTGACAGCTAATCTATAACTAAGTTTCAAACAATATTTTTAACGTCGTATTTCAAGTACATTCGAGTAAAACTTAAAACATTGGTGCGATTGCTTTGCACTCAACAATGAAATTAACCCACTTCATGCCTCTCCAAGCTTATATAGACATTAAAGTATGTTGAGCAAACAATCTGCTCAACTTTTTTATTATCATTAAAAAGACTTCAAATGGTAATGACGTCCTTCTCTTCAAGTTATTCAATAAAATTCATTGACGAGAAGTTGAAATAGAATAAGACTATTATAATAATTGCTATGAAATCAAAAATAAAAAATAATTAAAATAAATCAGAAAATAAATCCATATATATTAAGTAGTTTAAGCATCAAATATTATTGCTCATTAGTCAAGTTTCAGCTTCTATTATTTTACAGGAGCTCTTAGAGCGAGAGAGAGACAGAACGATGTCTGCCGAGCATATGCCATGGAAAACTTGTCACAAAAATTAGCGTTAATGCAGTAAAAATGTGGAAATTCAATTAGCTGTCATCAAAACCCAAACGGATGCACAGACAGCGCACAGTCCGCGAAAGTGCGTAAAAGCTTTAATTCCCCAGCAAACAAGTAATCCAAGAAACCAAAACTTTTGCACACACACACACACACGCCCCCAGACATGATTATGCACTTGTCTACGTACACGTGAACATATGCTTTTTTCAATTATGGGATTGTGTGTGTGCAAATGCCAAGACATAAAAACGTAAGACGTGCAACGGCAGCGCAATTTACGTTAACGTCGACAGTGCTGCGCCAAGTACACTGCAAAATAAAACTGATTTAGTTTTGCCAATGCGCTCATGGTGAGTAGGAAAGCGCTACTGCTCTATTCGCTGTGAAGCCCCGGCACTATTTGTTGTTGTTGTTTCTGCTGTTGCTGCGTCAACTGGTTGTGCTGCCTCGCTGAATGCACTTGCTGGCTAGCTTTTGTAGCTGTTGTTGTTGCTACGTTTTGTTTCTCTAGTTTGCTTTGTGTGCCACAAACTATTGCCAATTCACACAAATACATACATACATGCATAAACAAGTGCTGGCATGTATGCAGGCATGTCTAAGTATGTGTGTATGCACACATACAGATATGTATGTTTGTATTTGCACGCGTGTGCGTACGTGTAAAGCTAACATATTGTTGCCATTTACATTGAATACGCCGCATAAAAATCGTCATAAAATACAGCAGCTGCTGTTCAGCATGAAAGCAATGCAACATTTAATGGAAAAACTATTTAAAATGCAATTTGTAATAGTTTTGCCTTTGACTTACCAGTTGCTGCAACAACAAGAGACCAGAAAAATGTTTTCGTTATTTCGCACACAATAGCCCATGCTCACACACACGCGCGCACGAATAGAAACGTTTACATATATACACACACAAGCACAAATTTCAAAGCACATACGGCACAAACGCGAATGCGAAACATGAAGAAAACAAACCTTGCGAAGTAACGGCAACAATTTGTTATTGCTTTAGCATGGCACTGTTTATTCTCTTTCTCTCTATTTTTCTTGTTTCTACTTTAGTTGTTTTGGCAATTCCTTTACAAAATGCGTATTACATTTGCAATTCGAGTTGATTTGTACTAGTGATTGGCATTTGCTTGAACATTAACCAAAGCAAGTGAAAATATACACAAACAACAGGCGACACACACGAAGACCCAAACGCGGCAACCGTTTGATTTTGATTGACGCTGGGGCACCATGGAAAACTGCAAACGAGCCAAAGCACGCCTATACGAATAGCGAACGGCGCGAACGGGCCAGCGGCTAGCGACGAACGGCAAACGGCGAACAGAGAGCCGAAAAACATGAGCACACGAAGCTAAATCCGCGGCGATAGCAGTGCCTGTACACACAGCACTACTGCGTGGGAGCGGCAGCGCGCAAGAGCAGTGACGACAAGTTGCATGCAAATTCTTCTGTACGTGGGTGGCTAAACTTCGCCAACTGGGTGAGAGAGAGAGAGAGAGAAAGGGCTCAAACAAGCACGATGGCAGGCAGGCAACGGGAATATACATGCATACATACATACAAACGTATTTCGTTTCTTTCGTGACCGCAACCACTGCTGCCAATTCAGCTTTTTTCCCGTCAAATCTGGCTTTTTCCGAAGACAAATTGCGGGAAATATTTAAGAATTGCGGGAAGCGGGAATTCTGGCTTTTTTGAAAATGAATTAGGCTTTTTTCGATTTTTTT